CTCAAAACCAGTTTTCTTAAAGTGTTGGTATTTATTCACTGTAATGTGAAATATAGAATCGAGAAGTGAACTTCTTACACAATTCTCGATGATAGATATGAGGGTGTCGCGTGCTTGGATTTTTGTGACTTTGTCACGAGGATTTTTATTGGTAGATAATTGAATCGCTTACCATTAATTCATCGACAAATAACAAGTAAAAAGACATGTCATTTTCAGCGATCTCTCTGATGTCTTGTACTGTAAGGGGAAATGCCTAGGGGATAGCATCAACTAATTACGTATGTTATATAATGTAGCGCACTACCTTGACAAAATTGCAGATTGTGAGGACAGTAATTTGCTGTACTATATAAACGCGACAGAACATTTAACACGTATTATAGACCTATCTAACCAAATTTAATCACCATTTGTGAGATTCGTGTCGTTTTTGGTAATGATAAGCTTTCTACTTATCTTTTTGTGCGAAATGAAGGGAAACACTCTCCAATAAATCTCGGTCCCTCTTCGGAAACAGATTACGTTTTAATTACTAACGTACAGTAACAGCGACAATACTGTCGTATAAATGTGTCATCTTGTCCAATGTTCCGATATGCGACGGAGCAACAATGTAAAGTCTAATTTAGCATATAGCCCCGGTCATTTCGTTCTCAACATTAACGAGACTAGGCGGCGGAGTACAATCAGTACTGCATATATACAACCACTTTTGGAATGAGGACAACATATTCATTATAGTTAATAATTCACATCTTTTGGAATGAGGACAACATATTCATTACAGTTAATAATTCACCTCGTCTCCACGAAAACATTGCTTATGTTTTCCAACTATATCATTATCATGAACCTGGCGCTTTCACTAATTAATTGAATTTACAGAGTATCTCATTCGTCAGAGTATCAATTTCTCTAATAGCGGTGATAAAGTTGGTGAAAGCGTGTGTATCGTATAGATTTCATGACCAACTGGAATTTCCAATCACGTACAACATGGGCACTGTTTATATATCAATGGGAAGAGTAGATAGTAATTGTAGACCTTAACAGACAAGAATTCTACGTTATTATTATGGGTCACGCCTGTCACGCCTTTTAAGTATTGTAATGTTTAAGCCAAATGCAAATTACACTCAATTTTATGTCTTTCCCCCATCTTCAACCCTCAACCCTCAACCCCCCCCCCCCCCCCCCCCCCCTCAAAAAAAATAATAAAATTTTATTTAATCATAGATAAACACCAAAGATATCGTCATGTTTAAATATCAATGCTTTGTAAAACAATGAAATTGTATTATGTAAATTCTTTCTTTCCTAAAATTTTATACCAAATCGAGAAAGCAAAAGCAAAACTCTGCTATTTTACAGTACTTTTGAAGTGGAAAAACAAGCCGTAATGACTTTGTAGTAATTTTCTCAAAAACTGAAGTAGTCCTTCAAACCTATCTGTAAGATTCATATATACTTACTACACTCTAAGTATATTCCGCATGTGATAGGAATAGCAGTTGTACTTAATGAGAAAATGAGCTAAACGCACGGTTTGTATCTGTATGTATTAATATCTAAAAGCAATGTAGTAAAATGCCATCATATGCTTGTATGGTACACTATAGATGGATACTGTGTCGTCGGTGAAGTAGAGGACGCTAACTATTCCGGAATGCCTGGTCCTATTATCTTCGTAGTGTCCATGGGTCTCCATGTTCATATTTTGTCTTGGTCGTCTTCTTTATTGTTATACTAGGACAATAATGACTAATGTATTCTTTTTCGGTTTGATTTCATATCATCAGTGTATCCATTTTTTCAGTCGCTTCGTCTAATTATGAATTACCTTTTGACGGTATCTTGATATTTAAGACGTCAGAGGAAGGACCTCTCTGATTGATCAGGCTTGGTGAGATCACCATGTAACGAAGATCTGATTTAAACTAGATTGGTTTCAGCGATACTTACCGACATTTCTCATTATTCGATAAAAACATTATCTGATTTGAGGAATTCGTTAATTATTTTCCAATCTCCACGAAGCGTTTAATCGTTGTAAATATGGAAACATACTTTGAAATCGACGTGATTTTTGACATGTACAGATAGTCAACTAAAGAGTTTGAAATAGGTCAGGTACTGAACAGACGCTATATTCCACAGTTGACACTGTAATTATCTGTAAACAATGGCCACAGTGAGTTTATTTCTTGGAGAAGCTGTCGATACTTTTAGTTTCATTGTTCAATTACAGTACAGTCATGACAACAGTAAAAACATGTTTTACACGAATAGAAGAAAACAGTGCAAAATCTCATTATTCTTAAGTTAAATTTTTTTAGCATTTCAATGATCTCATTGACTGTAAAAGATGACAACTCCAAACCAGCTACCCACTCGGCATTAACAACAAATGATCTCACTACTACATACGGGTCGAGTCAGACATACATGGCAGCCGGTACATCTCAAGCTACCACTGAGACAGCTAGTATCACCAAACTCCCGGCCCCATTTTTTTTTTTTTTAATTATTTGCTAATCTATTTCACTTTCCTTTTAGTTCCTATTTTTGCTTTCCTTCCTATCCTGTGGGCGAGTTGACGAATCTCCTCAGTGTCTTCAGTGCAAAACATACCGAGGTCGATATCAAATACATGTATTTTTGTTATTTTAATCACCATCTTCCATACAACTTGGGGTGTTTTTGTCCGTCATGATGGGCCTTCGGCGTCCATCGGCCGAAGGGATTATCGAGACACCTTAATTTTCACTACCGCTCTCGATTTAGATTTATAACTTTGTATTTGATTTATGTTCTGTGTATGTGGTGTAATTTATATAATATTTGTGTCTTGATAAAGGGGAAAATTTCCTCGAAAATTCACTTATCCGTACTGTCGTTATTACTTTTATATATAGGCTTCACATGATTTTAAATATATTCATGTAGTACGAAATGATAATGAGATTATAACATTTAAACTAGTGAAGCGTGAATAAATCGATAAGCTGAATTTGGTCGCAGTCAACAAAACACCACCAAACCTGCTCACGCCGACACGGGTAACTCACGTCAGCAAGAAACTCGCAAAATTGATCAGCATTGATACGAGTTATTTCCCCTTATATACCCAGAGGTCCATTAAATCGTCTACTGAGGCAGCTCATGGTCAATCATGGTATTTCTGCTCGCAGATATTTAAAAATAAATACTACATCTAGAGAATTTCTCGAAAACATTTATAAGTTTAATTAAAGAATTAAAGAAACATTTCCCTCGGCAGTTGCGAAAATTGGTACTTGGCGTGAATGCGTCGGCGACCAGTATGACAAAAGAACGATGTTCCCCGAAAACAAATTTGTTGATGACTAAAATTTTAAGAAGAACGAATAATGCTTTACTATGTTACATACATGTGTTTTTGTCCAACACATCTCGATCAGCCTAAACCAGTTACTTGTTGCTGTGTTGTGAATAAATTTGTATTATAAATTATGTGGAAGATCATCAGTAATGTTATTATTGTAAGATTTGAAACTGTTTTCAAACATGTATCTTCTATAATAAGCTGTGAGTTTCATCAGCATCAATTCAAAATACAATTATGCTCTGGACACTCTATCTTATCAAAGGGCAATAATTCTGTAATTAAGGGTTTGCATGCCCTGACGTGATACACTGCACATCGTCTGATAATGACCAATGCATACACCTAAGCAGACGAAATTATGCTCTGGAAACAAAATTCTAACAAATGACAGTAGCCCTGTAAGTAAGGGTTTGTGAACCTTGGTTCGAGAACACTGCACATAAACTTACTGAAACAGATGAAATCACGGAGTTTCATGATCCTTGCTAAACTTTACTCAAAGTTAGGTCCCCGGACACGAAAAAGATAGACGGAACGACGGACGGACGGACGAAGAGGTAGCTATATGCTCCCTAAATAAGAATGTGTAAGAATACAAATCCCAAAGGCACTAATCACTGTCTGTAGTGACCAGCCTCACTGTCTGTAGTGACCAGTCTCACTGTCTGTAGTGACCAGTCTCCCTAAACGAGCGTAATACACGTATATACATACACGTGAATGATATACAAAATAAACATCACTTCTCACCCATAAAACGAATTGTATTTGATAAAAACGTATTAAATAATTCAAGCTTCATTATGAAAATATTATTAACAATATTATGACCTGCATATAGTGTAAATGGTTCAACAGATAGAAATGACATGGTATATAGCTGATACAGAGGCTGGACATCTTCTTACATGATTGGCTGTTTGATGAGTGACAATATCATTGATTGGTCGATTGACAGCTTTGCCTATATTTATCTGTCCTGGCGTAAATAAAGTTACTTATGTAAATAGATTATTAGAAGTCTATCTTCAACTATCTTAGAAGTGCAATGGTTTAGTGTCATATAAAGAAATCGTGAACGTCTACCTTAGTGTACTGGATGACCACATGGATCCCAGTGTTAATTCTGACTTATTAGATGTTTCTCTGTACTGTAGATCACTATAAACACACAATTCAGTCAGTTACCGAAGCGACGAGAAGAAAACACGACGAAAACACGTGTCAAGAAAAAGTCCCTATACCTTCTTACCAAAGAACTGTCAATAGTCCAAACCTTACAGAATCGTGTCCTCTTCACTCCACTTCCGGTAATAGCGCGATAGTTACATCCGGTCCAGCGTCCATTACCGATGATATAGGCAACAGAGTGCCAGTTTACTGTGGTGAAAATTCAGTGTTTTGGTATCATAAGGATAATCATACTATAGACCAAAGTTGTCGCACTTCTTATTATACGATTGTAACATGTACAAACTATACACATGAATGCAAAACCATGGTGAACGAGTAAACATATCTACATATAATGTTAAATCTACCAGCACAAAAACAGTAAATATTGACTACCACAATGGGAGAGGCCGGCTCTCCATTGCGTCAATATATCCCCAATGTGTTATTGGGCCTCTTAAGCTTGCGGTTCCGCATTTGTTTGGGCTACTCCGTTCTCTTCGTCGTCATTTTCGGCATACTTGTTAGATTTCTTGTCAATTCTTTTGTACCTGTCGCGTTTACAAAACGTTTTTTTAAGGTGTGTGCTCATGTTTGTATTGTGGAGGAAATATATGATGGGTTTGACGAAGGCCGCAACGTGGGTCATTAAAACGAGAAACCGGATGACGTTAGCCGAAATGACGACATTGAACTCATACAGATCGACGTAGGTGATGATGATATGTGGGTACCACAATCCGATCACCACGAATGTAGTTATAAGGTACGTCTTCACCAACTCGTAGTCGTTCTTTGACAAGTAATACACTCGTTTCATTCCCCCTTCGTCACTTTTCTTTGATTTGTTCTCTTTTTCATCTTCCTCGTCGGTTGAGGATTCGTTGCTCTCGTATCCGTCCTTAGTGTAATGCACCACCTTTCCGATAGTTGGCTTCTTTCGTTTCCTCCCGGCATCTTGGAATTTCATTTGTTGGCGCTTGAGTCTTGCTGAATACGTATCACCGGAAGCGACGTCATTCGTTTCGAGTGCCATAGCACCTTCCGGTGACATATTATCACGCAATTTTTTAATCCGAATGAAAATTAATACGTAGCACAATGCCAGGAAAATAATAGGTATTCCAAATGTGATGGCAGTTGAGAAGTGCATTTGTCTAACGTTTTCGTCGTAGTTCATAGCACATTGGTACTGGTTAGAGAAATACGCCACCTCCCCCCAACCAGAGACCGGAAACAGTGACAAGACCACGTCAAAGATCCAAACAGCACAGACAGCTATGATCAGAACTATCCTTTGAAAAATTTCAAAATGGCGCGAGGGTTTGTAAATCATTAGTGTCCTTTCAAAAGAAAGAAACAATAATGTGTGCATGTTGATGAGGACACAAAAATTGGCAAAGAACTGTTGTAGTTTACATACGTCGTATGACAGCGTCCAGCCGTCCTCAAACACAGCTAGCACGCTGAATGACGTCCAGAAGATTGCTCCCAAAATATCTACAAAGGCCAGGTTCGCCACGAAATATTTGGCAGGAATCCTCATCCTCCTCCGCTGGAAGAACACAAAGAGGAACAGCACATTGGTTACAAGTGTTAGAACCCCAATGGCGGCGAGCGAAATACCGAACCCATATTTCGTTTCATCAGGTGTCGCCATTTTGTGCGTCTGTGAACAAGTGTTTTAGAGAAACAGAGTCAATGCCTAATGTCTGACTGATAAAGTTCTGTCCTGATGGTCTCAATCACGAAGGCTTCTGGCTAAGTTATACCGAGCCGCCATTTTGTCCCGTCTCTTCAATATACAAGTAACACACACGTAATATGTATTACCGAAGGTTGTAGAGTTGAGATACCAACCCAGTTCTTCAAAATCTATTTTACACGTACACCACGAATATATGAATATTGATGTACACAGACCTCCACCTGAAAAAAATCAATAATTAGCATTCGATGGTTCTCAGGTAAACAGCCGTGTTGTCAATATCAAACAGCCACAGGTAAATATATGTTTCAATATTGAGGTCCCGTCCGATTAGACAGGAACGTTTCGCTCCATTAGTAGTGTCTAGTAGTATTCCTTTTAGATAAGAAGTTCGTGTCTTGGCATGTGGGAATGTAGGAACCGTATTTGTAGCCGGTCCATTGGTTTACAACCCTAAGCAACAACACAATTACGATATTAAAGCCCAGTATTGTTGGGATAAGCTTACCGCCAGAGAATTCATTACACCTACATTGTACAGCGGATTGTCAAAGTAAACAGATAAGTAAATGGGTATATTTTTAATGGTCTTTATTAACGTTGAATAGAAAACGTCGATACTTTCGACAGCTATATATACACATGTACATATATACCAGTTATTGTCACGGAGAGACTTAGGACATGATTATAATCTGTATAGGCGAATATAAGTATTTACAATTGTACACGTATTACCAGTTTCATTGAGATTCCACATTAGTCGCCTCTAATACCAGGAAGGATAAAATTCAATCAAAGCTTTATCTGTTATATAAACTCACACGCAAGATACACTTATCTAGACTGTTTCGAGTCACTGATGAAATACTCACACGAGGTATATAAACTCACACGCGAGATACACATATCTAGACTGTTTCGAGTCACTGATGAAATACTCACGTGAGGTATATAAACTCAAACGAGAGATACCTAGACTGTTTCGAGTCACTGATGACATACTCACATGAGTTATATAAACTCACAAGAGAGATACATATATCTAGACTGTTTCGAGTCACTGATGACATACTCACATGAGTTATATAAACTCACAAGAGCGATACATATATCTAGACTGTTTCGAGTCACTGATGACATACTCACATGAGTTATATAAACTCACACGAGAGATACACATATCTAGACTGTTTCGAGTCACTGATGACATACTCATATGAGTAATATAAACTCACAAGAGAGATACGTATATCTAGACTGTTTCGAGTCACTGCTGACATACTCACATGAGTTATATAAACTCAAAAGAGAGATACATATATCTAGACTGTTTCGAGTCACTGATGACATACTCATATGAGTTATATAAACTCACAAGAGAGATACATATATCTAGACTGTTTCGAGTCACTGATGGCATACTCACATGAGGTATATAAACTCACACGAGAGATATCTAGACTGTTTCGAGTCACTGATGACATACTCACATGAGTATATAAACTCACAAGAGAGATATCTAGACTGTTTCGAGTCACTGATGACATACTCACATGAGGTATATAAACTCACAAGAGAGATATCTAGACTGTTTCGAGTCACTGATGACATACTCACATGAGGTATATAAACTCACAAGAGAGATATCTAGACTGTTTCGAGTCACTGATGACATACTCACATGAGGTATATAAACTCACAAGAGAGATATCTAGACTGTTTCGAGTCACTGATGACATACTCACATGAGGTATATAAACTCACAAGAGAGATATCTAGACTGTTTCGAGTCACTGATGACATACTCACATGAGGTATATAAACTCACAAGAGAGATATCATACTCACATACTCACATGAGGTATATAAACTCACACGAGAGATATCTAGACTGTTTCGAGTCACTGATGACATACTCACATGAGGTATATAAACTCACAAGAGAGATATCTAGACTGTTTCGAGTCACTGACGACATACTCACATGAGGTATATAAACTCACAAGAGAGATATCTAGACTGTTTCGAGTCACTGATGACATACTCACATGAGGTATATAAACTCACAAGAGAGATATCTAGACTGTTTCGAGTCACTGATTTGAGAATGAAATGTATATAATCATTATATAATTAAAACTAAATGCGTTTTACTAGTTGTCTGGTCTGTTTTAATCCATGTTATTTTAAATGATATGAAAGATAACTCGAATTCCCGTGTTAAGATCTGCTATATTTTTGTTTAATGTTGGACTTATCAAATATTTTATGACAATCATGGTACACAATATGTCATCATCAATCAGATAATTAAAGTGTATTTTCTTAGAATTTTAGTTCGTCTCGGAACAAGGGGAATAACTCTTTATCACCTTCGTTACACATTTCAATCTTATTGAGGAAGTGTTGACAACGAAGAGATGAATATGAAAAGCGAATGTTTTAAAAACAACACAACGAGTACCAGGTAGGTGAGATCAAGATTTGTTTTAAAAACAACACAACGAGTACCAGGTAGGTGAGATCAAGATTTGTTTTTTAAAACAACACCACGAATGCAAGGTAGGTGAGATCAAGTTTTGTTTTTAAAACAACACAACGAATATCAGGTAGGTGGATCAAGATTTGTTTTAACGGGGATTCAGAATTACAGGATGACTGATTAAATTTCATGTCAACCTTTCCACCGAATCTTTTGGTAGATTTGTACAGATGTGCAGGTTTTGTTAGGCGTGAATAATATATATCAACAACATGCGTTCCTTCCATTTTCTGTACTTTCATTATTACGTAATATATAACTTAAACTTTTGTAGACCGTCACCTAGTTAGACCGTCACCTAGTTAGACCGTGACCGTCACCTAGTTAGACCGTCGCCTAGTTAGACCGTCACCTAGTTAGACCGTCGCCTAGTTAGACCGTCACCTAGTTAGACCGTGACCGTTACCTAGTTAGACCGTCACCTAGTTAGACCGTCACCTTGTACAAAACAAACGATTCTCATACACCTTATTATAAATGTTTCCTGACGTAATACATGTAGAACATAGCACCCTCTTCTCGCATACGAATGACACGAGGAAGGATATAGAGTATAATACTGATATGTGATTGAAATTAAAATCTGACGTCAAAATCAAAAGTTGACATCAACATAACTTACTGGATTTTATGATAAAAATTTTCCCAACTCGGACACACGACTACAGGAAAATCACATTCATTGTGATATCTCACTAAACAACTGAGCCCGAAGACATACACGAGGAAAAAGACATGCGGTCAGACTTGTTTACAAACAATAACGACACAATACGAGCTGTCCATACATTATCACCTGCAATCTTCTGCATCAAAGATTACATTGAAACATCAAGATAAGCAGGAAGTAGAACTGCAAAAATGTTACGATTTGAAAAAAAAAAGTTTTTAGAAAAAATATCGCTCTAGGAAATTAGAAATGTATTGATTGGTTTTAATTGTTTATTATTATCGTCTATGTATCATTAATACGGTTTTTGTTAACCTCGCAACGGAATTCAGATTGCCTTCAAAGAGTTACCTCCCTTCCGTCACCACGACTGAGTCTACATTCGATAGACCGACTTTATGTATCAAACAATTAGACCTTAGCGACAGAATGTCGAATTAACTGTTGCAGCTCACGTTCACTGTCACGTACGTGTTCAGGATCAGGGGATATATCAACATGGTGGTGAAGAAACACACCGAAAACTTCTGACACCAATTCTTAGAATCTCGATGAGTTTTTCTGCAATTTTCTACATTTTATGTCACATGAAACAAAAAGTGTTAAAGCTCTGTTTGAAAGTACAACGGAGCTTCGAAATCAATCTTTCATTAATCCACACATGAAGTATTAATTCAAAATGAAAGTTCAACGGGAAGAACATTTCAACGGGAATACAATGCGTAAATAGACTGTTTATGTCATCTCCATTGAAACATTATTTCATATTAATACAAATAATCGTATAAACACAAAACATTTCAAACGGATTCCACTGCAGTCAAAATATACAGAGGTAGATCTGCAATCTTAATTCCATATCTACATATCGTTTACACACATTTCAATGTTCGTAGTAGTTACCGCCTCGTTGTCACATTTCCGATGAAGATAAGTTTTTAGAACAATAATTCATTTTTCGGTTTGAATTTTTGCAAGGTGTTTGAATACTGCTGGCGATTAAATTTTGTATCTAAAGTGAGCATAACAGTGCTTTAGATATTGTCTATAAAAACGGAAAATGCGTCGGAACCCGGTACATAGCTACCCGATTGTTTACACGACGCAACCTTGATGGGTACCTTCCGGACTACGTACACAACAGTAGCATTGGCTGCAGGTAGAACATCTCATCAGATTGTTATTGTACGAAGTGTGATGATCTGTTTCGGGGAAGACAAAAAAACACTAACTTATTTTCACGTGAATGGTACTGTATATTCACACAACACTCCACGTGTAAGGTACAGTATACTCACACAACACTCCACGTGTAAGGTACAGTATACTCACACAACACTCCACGTGTAAAGTACAGTATACTCACACAACACTCCACGTGTAAGGTACAGTATACTCACACAACACTTCACGTGTAAGGTACAGTATACTCACACAACACTCCAAGTGTAAGGTACAGTATACTCACACAACACTCCACGTGTAAAGTACAGTATACTCACACAACACTCCACGTGTAAAGTACATTGTACTCACACAACACTTCACGTGTAAGGTATAGTATACTCACACAACACTCCAAGTGTAAGGTACAGTATACTCACACAACACGTCACGTGTAAAGTAGATTGTACTCACACAACACTCCACGTGTAAGGTACAGTATACTCACACAACACGTCACGTGTAAAGTAGATTGTACTTACACAACACTCCACGTGTAAGGTACAGTATACT